AAAAAAAATTTTTCATTTATTTATAAAAATAACTACAGTTCACCAATAAAGCTAGTCAGTCTGCCTGTCTCTGAAATTCGGTCTTTGTTTAATTTTCGATTATATAGAAATGTGCTGCTTACCCTAAGATTAACGTTGCTAGAAACAGGCATTATATTTTAACCTTAAGACCGTGTTTAAGGCATACTGAAAACATTAGGTAAGGTATAAGGTATCAATTTCCAAATTAACTGATATAGATCAGAAAGTATTTCCCTTAAAACAAACGCTGCAGCGTCTGTTAACATTATTTAAATAATGAAATCATATATTCCTAAAGCGTGGAATTTCAAATAATAAAACGTGTTTGTTAAACATATTTTTTTTTCTATTATCAAATATTCATAACACTTGAAATAATGCATAAACAAAGCGAAAGGGAGAAGTTAAGATCTATATATTTCTAAACAGAGAGATAAGAGAAACGAAATGTTAAACTTAAGTCACTAAAATATAAAGCTTAATATATATAAACTGTCCGCAGCAAATAACACTGAAGCAATTTTCAAATCATGTATATTAAGCACACGCATTTTACGATTTCAGTCGTTTTGGATAAAGAATCTGAGTTCACTGATTCTTAAACAATATTCAATGGTTGGTGTCCTTTCCTCATTAAGACGTTTCATTACTACCTCAATGATTACTGCGCGCATTTTGCCAGGCATGGTAAAGGATTATGACGGATACATAATTCAAAAAAGGATCGAAAAATTCCTGTTTCAAACCTCTTTAAAGTTTTCATACGATGACGCAGGTTTCGCTACCTCACGAATGTCTCTTATGTCTAATAATGGAAACAGTAATTGTGAATATTTTGCAGTGTAGTATCTATAGTAGCTAACAGAGATCCAATAAGCTACTAAGTTACTCTTTGACCTTCCATTTTTGACAATTTGGAAATGTCTTTGCTGTTTTCAGATTAGCCTGATGTATACCAGTTTCAGTTCTAATGTGATCTTTTCATGTTAGACAGCTTCTAATTTCGCTTTAATGTCTTCAATTTTTTACAATTTTATTTATTTAGTTAAAATTAACTGCATTAGTTAAAATATTTTTGCAGCGGAATGTGAATTTTTCAGAAGCATGGTATTTCATTCTAGACCGCATAACCCGTCCTCCTTTTCTTATGATATGTGTTCTTAGTGAGTTTTCATTGCTACATTTTAATCTGAACTCCTTCATCTTTTCCTTCACCTCAATCCTTTCCAGAATATGCATAATAGAAGAGTATTTAAGGAGAGGACGAAAGGATTAATGGTAGAGATTTTATAGATTAGCCAATACAGACTTTGCGATAGATTGTTTATTACATCTCCATTTATAAATTGAGATTCGGAGACAGAGATGAACTTCAGTTGGCTGATTGCTGTTTAAGACAAAGCACGCGAGAGATCTTTACATTGAAGCCAAGCCTTTAGAGAACACTTTCCGAAGGAAAATGGTTCGTATTTACTTTACCAATGAGTTCGCAAGAAATCGAACATGGATTTAACTATTAGTTCAGTGATCTTATTTAAGCGGCAAGCGAGTAGATGATCTACCGAAATTAAAAATTTTATTGGAGAGAAAGTTTTTTTAGAATCAATGACAATTTTAAGAGAAAATTTGCGTTAGGTTACGAGAACAGAAAAATTTTATGTTAAGATAAAATCATAACTATTAATAAATTTTTATAGCAATAATTTAAATGTGGGTTGTTTACTTTCGTTAATAATGGTAAGCATCATTACTAAGGACTTTACCAGGAAAGGACGGAAATCTTGTCCTACTACCAACTGTTTCTAGCTGTTAATAAGATACTTAATTTCAGCAGTATTTCATTGTACCATTCAAAAGCAATTTCCTGACACACTCAGCAACTTCAAAAATATTTAGGGTAACTACAATAAGCGGTAGTAATTCAGCTCATCAGCATTTGCTGGTAGTAACTCGACATAAACTCGATTTTTGAAAAACACGACAAGAAAAGGAATCTGACGCAATAAGCCGTAATACACAATGTGCTTCATCTTCATTAACGGTAGACAAACAACATTTTCAAGTAGTTATGTGTTTTCAGTATACAGTCTCTATTGTCTAGCATAAATGGGCCTGAATGGTGGTCAGGTAACCGAGAATATCGGATAATAAGATAATACTTGTATTACTGAAGAAATGTTATTACAGTAGGTCTCCTGAGCAGAAAGCATTTAATTAAAACCTGGCGTGAAAGAAAAGACACATATAATAATTGCAGATTGAAATTGGTGTACAGTTTTACAATTTTAAACCTAAAAATCTACAATAATAAAATAATATCATTAGGAAAAAAAGATACATCCATTGCGATATACACTGCACAGCATAAAAGTTATACTATAAAGAAGAAATGTATTATGATGGATATTAAAGGAAACGATAGCATACTTTATAAAGTTCAAGAAATTGCTCTGCGAAAAAACTACTCAATATCATGGTCAAGGGAGTGGTTAGCTGATATTACACTTGCTATTTTCAGAATTGTGACCTATTTTAAAGAAACGCGAACAATACATCTTGAGTAAAATATGCAGTATAACAGTAATAATAATAATATTTCTAGTATTTTGATTTTCAATTTTGATGATATGTCGTATAAAACGAAGTATCCGATAGCCAAAGATCGAATAATGGGAGGGAATTGCATTAAAAAAATAAATGATGAATTTCACTACTCTATCAGGCACTAAATGTGTTCCAATACATTCTGACTCTCATCGGCTTTTGTATATCTTTCAATGAAATTCATTTCATTTTTTTCGTTCAATAAAATAAATTTCCATTATAATAAAATTCCTCCCCTGTTTCCTCTTTTCACTCAATTCTTTTGTCTTTTTCTGCAAACTGCATATACTATTGCAAATTCTTTTTATTGGCAAATTACATGTTGTTGTCGTTGTGACATATTCCACTTGTATGACAATGATATCAGATCAAATCAACGAAAGTATTGCCGCCAAGAACGCAAGTTTTGCGCCTATCGTTGGCTTAGGCCTCAAGCACCTTATAGATAATATTACGAATTCTCCCAACTCCGTTCCAGGTTTGAAGGAGAATACAGAAGGATCCGAAGGCTTTCTGAATCTCTTCTCCTTCCATCAACATCTTGAGAGAACTTTCGGCTTGACAGTACTTTAAGTGCTCCAGCGCCGCAATCATACAAACATCCATGCCTTCTCCTGGATTCGAATCTGTGTCTAAGGCTAAGCTGCCAGCTCCTTTATCACCATGCCAATAAGGCTGCTGTAAATCATATAAACAATAATAAATTTCGCTCCATGAGATTACATTACTATCTGTTTTGAAAACTATACAGAAATATAAATACATATGGCAGTTATATAATTTTTAGAAATTTCGTAACGATGTATCAAATAACTACATCTGGAACAATTTGCTTTCTTCTCAGAAGCCATTCCTACTCATAGTATATTTCAAGTCATAACATTCACAGATATTTACACAAAGCCTCATGATTTAACTTTCATCAAGTATTTTGTCCACAAAGTAATTTGGAAGATTATTGCAGGAGTAAAAAGCAATCGATAATACTGATTGCATCCAAAGTCAACGGCCCGCCAGCGGCCGAGCGGTAAAGTCGCTGAACACTGGTAGTTCGGTCCCGAGGTTCGAATCCCGCAAACGGGCTGGCTGCATAGGCGTTTTCGTGGTTTTCCTCATGTGTAACATGTATACGATCCAGTTTTCCTTGGAAAGTCCTCCACGAAGGCATATCTCCCCCTTAGGCAGATAGCCCTCGAGGCTTTGCCATAATCACACACATCCAAAGTTAACGATAGTTATGCTTGAAAAACACAGAGAGGGGCTAAGAGCCACGAAATCTCATGCTATTAACAGTCCTCGGGCAGTTTTTAACATTAGTCTCTGGAAGGACTTAATTTTTGCCATATAGTCAATTACCGCTTAATTGGAAGTGGATTATTCGAGTTGCGGTTTAATAGAACTATCATTTTTTCCTAATTTATTGCAGAATGATAGAAAAATTACTCTCACAAACCGGTAGCGTAAAACAAAACTGTCTACGGAAAGTGCAAAAGGTAAAGAAAATGCGTAATGTAGCAGCAAAGATAGGAAATAATCTTATTGTATTTGGGAGTTTTTTTATTCACAACAATACATAGTTTAATTTTACTTAAATCTGAGTCTATATATGTATATTATGATTCTAGTTTAGATAAAGTATTAAATGTAGGTGAAATAAATTATATATATGCATATAGCTTTTTACGCGAGTTTGAGCTCGAAGATATCGTTCACATGGTGGTACAAACATTCTTTTTTAATCGCCTTTACAATTTAATTTCTTCATTTCTAATAAGGTTTATTTTTTTATATACAGTTATTTACAGTTTATGTTTTATTTACATTTTCTTTGAATACTTATTTAATTTGCTCAACTAAATGAAATAAACTCTCCTGATCAAATATCCCTGCTTGAAAAATAAAGTTAAAATGTAAGTAGTATGGATTATTACTTTTAATTCGTGTCTTAACGGCCCTTGGATTAAGTGTAGACGTAGATTTTAATACAACCAAGTAAATCGGGAGTTAACAAACATTGTACTGTTGATTGCTTAAAAGCCGGTCTGCTTTGGATCAGCAGTATGCTACCTTTAATAATAGAGGAAATGAGAAAAAAGACAATATTACTGAGAAAAACGGAAGGAAGAGAAAATAATGAATTTGTCAGTATGTAAGTTTCCATTCTTCTTTGTTGGTAAGCTAAATTGTTTGCTTTTGTCAACAACAACAGTATCTTATTCAAATATGACAGGAAATGTTAAAAATGTTATGCTACTATTTAAAACTGTTGTAAGAAATAAAATGTTCCCTTAAAATATTTACATGCATTTTATGGTAGAAAATGGGAAAAATATAGTCACATATATTTTGTATATTTATGATACTCGGATTTCTTAAATTTTACAATATTTCTAACCTTCATGATTCAACTGCAAGTTCTTCAAACTATAGCAAATTTCAAAAGATTTTCCAGTACAATTATAAAACAAATTCTTTGTGAAAGTGAAGCTACGCATTTCCAGCTCTCGCTAATTAAGAATTTGTAATATTCTAGCTAAACTCGATTTCCTTGTAAGCTAGAATACTGAAGACCGACTACCGACTGTTTGCTGAGTTCTTGTAAGTAACAAGTCCATAGAAGGGTTAAATTACATTTTATTCCAAATCAAAATGAATTAACATTTGGCCCATCTCGAGCGTACAATAAGCCTTCAGTTCGGCTTTAACTCAAAATAGAAAATGTAAAACTTATCTAATGCTAAATTAAATTAAACAAGCTGCACAGAATCAACTAACGGAATTGGCCCTTATTTAAAGGTCACCGGCTTGTACTAGTAGGCATGTAGCAGTACGCCATAGAATAGTAATAAGCTTAGACTAGCAGCAACAACGCGGCCGAAGGGCAGAACACGCTTTCCTGAAGCGACCTAGAATTCAGCTTATATAGCTTATATACTCGTTTCTACCACCTCATTTGCATAAATCGTAATCGTAAAAACTCATTCTGGTAGGAAAACGTAGGTGTGAAATTAGAATGCATAGAAAAGGTTTCTTCCAAAATAAAAATAAGTGTTAGAAAATTAAAGTAAAACCCTACAGATTAATTTTACAATGTCTAATTTAAGATCTCTTGTTCATTAACAATAAAGCAAATCAAGAATAATTTTCTGGAGCCCATTATATAAAATGATTACGATCATTTGCGGACATTTGTAAACCGATATAATAATACTTTTAAAATCAAAATTATCCTCCATTAATTTAGAACCTTGACGCACGCTTTTTAAGATCAACTTTTCTCTTTTCAGTTATCTTCAAACCAAAATTTTTCTGTTGAAGAATTTCTTGAAGAATTTGTAATAGTAATTGTAATGTAAATCATTTTATGCCTAGAATGGTGAAATAGATAAACAAAATTCTGAGACTTTTTATACATTTGAGAGCAATATATAATATTTTGAACTGAAATTAATTTACAAATTAGATCGAAAACATTATGTCATGATAGCGTCTAATTTCGAGTTAAAATATTTATAAATAACTAAGCAATATTTACTACGCGTTGGGAAAATAAAATTCATTATTTAAGTGTGCATAAAAATAATTTGTTTCGGAACACTAACTTCTTTACAGTTCTGAAAAATAACTATGCTTTAAAACTAACTTTTTTTCTCTTGATCTTCTATTTTTATATTCGAAATTTATCTTTCAAATATAGAAATTCGTACCACAAATTAAATAAAGACACATCGACAAATAAAGAATATTGTTAGGCATTGCGTTGTCGACCAGGGAAAGTCTTCCAGTTAAAAACTATACGCAGAATAAAAACGAAACAGAATTATCAATGCAATGAGCATTCTGCTGGAGGATGGAATAGCAATGCAGAGGCATTTTTTAGTCGAACGATGTATAAAACTAAAATTGTGGAAACACTATTGTCCAAAACTAAAAGCCAACGACAAATGCCGAATTGTGTTTCAGAAGTTAACGGAGTGTCAAAGGACTGTTTTACAACTAATCATATGATATGTGACACTAAGAACATTATTTATTGGTTCTACTAAATAATGTAAATATTTATAAAAATTATCAGTTATGATACATTATGAAATATAATTAGCTATAATTTCAAAATAATAAAATTAAAGTGCATGCAATATTTTAAAATCTCTAAGTTTTTACACAGATAGCCCGAGCCAGCACAAGTGTGAGGCACTTGCTTCAGGTGAACAGATAGAAGGGGCTTCAGTTTAACCATGAAAATTTTAAAGAAAATTACAGTTGTTTAGCAAAAATCGCGATACAGTTTGAAAATCAAAACCATCAAGAAGCTTTGTTTCAAGACATCATGTTTAAAGTACCAAAACTTCATTAACATTATCTGTGATAGTTTACAAGCATTATACTCATTCTTGATAAATCCTTAAGTTTCTAGGTTATGTCAAATACACTGGTGGACAATTGTTAAGGACGGATCACAAACGGCTGTATAGCGAGTTATAAAGTGTGTTTGGATGCCAAATGAAATAAAATAATGCAAGAATACTAGGGCATAGCAATAAAGATATCTGTACATTGTGTCAAATGCTAGAGAAAAAAAGCAGTTAACGAGAAGCAGTGTTAAATACTAGTATATTATGTAACATAATATAATTTAATCTTAATATAACAATATATACATATAACAACACAGAATCAACATAACAAACAGAAAAATTATTCTTAAATTCTTCAGACGTCTTAAAATACATACGTCTGAAGATTATTCAATAAAATTATCAAAATATTATGCTATTATTTCACTGCAGTCGTTTTCTACAATGTATGTTTTTATCCCAGAATTTCCAATGTTTGGTTTGGTTAGTTGATTAAGCAGCACAACGGATACTTTCCTCCTGGGACGGACACCTTCGTGGAGGAATTTTGGAGAAAAATTGGTTCTTATCCACGATACATATGGGGAAAATCACGAAACATTCCATGCAGCCAAAACCGTTCGACGTAATTTGAGCTCAGGTCGAACTATCAGTGTTCAGCAAATTTACCGCTCAGTCTCTGGTGGTCTGGAAAGAGATTAAGAATTTTGGATTATAAATAATACAACTGAGTTAAGAGAAAAATTAACGGCGCCAATTTGTTTTCAGAAGTTCTGTGGTTTCACAGTATTGTATACATTATGTTCCAACATTAATATTTATTATTGCTACTAAAGTTCTGAAATTGATTTACATTTGATAGTGAGCTTCATAGATTAAACTTACATAAGGAATAATATATTGATCACATCAGTCATTCTCTTCTATCTCTTTTAAATTTGAACTGCAGCTCTTTGTGTTTTTACTTAACCAAAATAAGCTTTCCAATTGTTGCCTAATATTTGTTTCAACAAATCTAAGGTACGGAAGTTTGCTGGATTGGTATCGGAGCATTAAACACGAATGTCTAAAAACTAAATGTACCTATATAGCAGGTCTCGAGCTAGGAGTTTTGCAGGCCCATGTTATCTCTGCGGGTTCTGTATAACAAAAAATGAAAACTAAAAACGTGTGTTACCTTAATAACGAATTCTATCAATCTAATTGCTATGTCAAAAGTATAATCCATTATCTGCATAAAATTATAAAGAGCGTCCCCAGTTGTTACAATTCATAACATAAAATTGTACAAGAATTTCGATTTCGTTGGTTATGGCAAAGCTAACTAGGGCTATTTGGCTAAGGGCACAGATGCCTTGCAAAGACAGGTTATTTAAAGCAGGAGAGATGAAAAATGAGTAATGCCCTCGCCGGCACTCGAACCACGGACCTTTCGATACGCGCCGATTGTGTTGGTCATTACCCACTAAGGCATACTAAGAAGGCGGGAGAATTTCCCCCTTTTAAAGAGCGACTGGGGATTAAGGGACCCAAATCGCCAAATCCTGGTGGTGAAGAATCATCATCCATTACTTTTTTTAGTTTGGGCATAAATGTAGAGACATTAGGTTATTTGAAGCAGGAGAGATGAAAAATGAGCAATGCCCTCGCCGGAACTCGAACCATGAGCCTCTCGGTATGCGCCGAGTGTGCTGGCCATTACACCACAAATGTAATTCTAAAAAAGCAGGAGAAATACCTTACAGCCTTCGTGGAGGACTTTCTAAGGGAAACTGGCTCTTATACAAGTTACATATGTTGCAAACCACGAAAAGGCCCACGCAGCCAGCCCGTTCGCCTGGAATCGAAGCTACCAGTGTTCAGGAATTTTACCGCTCGGTTGCTCGTGGGCCCAGGAATTTTGTAAATCATTATTTAATTTATTATTTTGTAAATTTAATCTCTTGTTCTCATTAAAATAAATGATAAATTATTTTTCTTCTTTTAGTGCATTAATTATCGTATTAATTTTAAATAAAAGCTCAGTTTTCAAAAACGTTTTAAATATTTTTTTCGTACAAAGTTTGGCATGGGCCATTTTTCATTATAAAGTTTGCTGTGGGTCGAACATACACATTCAGATTTTGTCCCTATGTATCCACATGAATTTTCTTTCAAAACTCTGCACTTGGATTTATTCACGGTTATTTTTGGATAAACTGTAATATAATTGTCGCTTAGCAAGATAAATAGAATCACCATCCGAAATTTATTTTCTGTTGAGACGTAAAGAGAGAAGGTAAGAATTTTCGTGTTTGTTTCATTGTTTATAATGAAAAAACAAAATGATAAAATGATTCCTTTTTTAACAAAGATATAAGCAAGAGAATTCAAAATATTCAATTTTGTTATCGGAAGAATTAAAACAAACTGTCCCGGTTTATTCTCTGAGGCAACTCGTATTAAAATTGCAAAAACACCGATAATCACTGATATTAGTGATATCCAAAAAATATTTTTTCATGCTATTAATAATCAAGTAAATTCTCATTTTTTTATTAAACTATTACAAAACATTATTAACGTTTACTAACTCCCGTTGATACATTACTAACGTTAACTGTCATATTATACACTTTTCAACTGAAATTTACATTTATAAAATCAAATTTTAGACACGTATTCAACATTGTTGTTTCAGATCAAGACTGCCATTTAGCCTAACTGTGTTTCTATTTATTATTATATTCTTCATACATAAATTTTTCTTCATTAAAGAGCACAAATCATCTGATATAATGAAACTGTTTGTCGGCATGAGCAGTTAATGGAAAACGATTTTATCTATCTTCAGAAAAAGACTTTTACTCATATTCCCAAAATCTTATCAAACCTTAGAGTAATTCAGAGTTCTGGTTTGGATTTTGAAGCAGGATTATTCTACAGAAATTCCAACAAAAAGTTGCGTAAAGGAATTACTTAAATATGAAAATGGTTTAACAAGAATTAAAATAAAGAAAATTAGACAATAATAATAAAAATTGCAAATTTGGGCATTTATTAGAGACTTGCAGCATAATCGGATATTAGAGAAATCTTAGAAAATCCTTTAAATTTTGATAAAATAACTCCATAAATTAGCGTCGTATTAGTGTTACCGTACTATGTGTAATGCATACATAAATTAGCGTGCAGGAAAGAAAAGTGCTTGATAAGTTTCTAGTTATTAGCTTCCTACATTCTCTTCACACTCCCTCTTACACGGATATACCGATAAATCGCATAGTACGTGCTCTAAGTCAGCATTCATTAATGTTGCTGTACAAGAAGATCCAATTAAGTGGACCAAGGGTCATTCATCTTTTGAAATGATACAGCTGCTTTTACTATTCGGGACTTCCGTTTGCATCCCTCGAACATCTGGTGACTTATCAGTTTTGAAGCGCCGCACCTGAATTTCTGAATAACCTGCCAAAGATTGTCAGTTGTATCTTAACTTATAATCTCCTATTCTAGCTGCAAAAATACCAGTCATTTTTATGAATGACAGAAGAAACGTCATAAATGCAGACGCAGAAAATACTTTTCTGAAATTAAAGTAGAAGAATACTTTTTTATTTTTCTTACGGATTTATAGAACTCCCCTATTCTGATTTCGAAAAAATATTAAAATGTATATTCAGTTTTATGAACAGCAAGTGCCTTTAAATTAATACACATTGAAAATCAAAACTGGAAATTCGCTTTGTACGAAAAATATTATTCAAAGCCTTGTATGTATCTTCTCATTATATCTTAGATTCTTCGAAATAAACTTCTCACATTTAATAAACTTCTCACTTTCGAATTTCACACAAGTAAAATTTTCATAACAGTATCTCACTGTAGCTCATATACTGAGAACACTTTTCACTTTGCAAGTCATTTGCGTTCTCATTTGACGTCACAGCCTGCAAGAATTTGCAAAAATTCCTTATTAATCGTTTTCGCTTTTGATGTCGGAATTTTCTCCACCTGAATTAAAGCGTTCTCTTTAAGAAATAAATTTTATTCAAACCGCAATCTCTTTCACAATTTGGTTTTCAATTTTACTGAACATTTGCATATAAGTATCATTACTATTCCCATATCCTCAAGACACTTTATTTCATTTTCTTTGCCCCCAGGTTTGCGACAGTATGTGACTCATATTTGTCCTCAGACATACTATGACTTCAGCACCATGCCACCAAAAATACGGCCTTCGGTCTATCACACCCTGGTACTTAGTCGAAGAGGTCATAGCATTTCTCTGACTTAAGACAGTTCGAAGTCTTAAGAAATAAAATTTAGAATCGGATGAACGTTTCGGTGACCTGAAAAGCAGCCTTATTCATGCATCCAGTGTCTTGATTCTTACTGCCCACTACTCTCAGCTAGTTGACCGACAGGAACCGGACCCAGATACAAGATCCAGGTTTATCTGCTGCTGCCGCAAGGCTTGCCCAGCCGCTGGATCTGAATGCAAATCAATACAGAAATGCTGAGATAGATAAAACATCAAATGATTCCTATCTTTTTTTCTTACTTTTTGCTTGTGAGTGTGTGTTGCAGAACCAGTTGGCTGCACTGAGTAAATCTTATATAATAAATGGCGTAGAATAAGTATCAATTACAAGGTCTAATAAAAGCTGGCTTAATGAATTTCCATTTTAGATGATACAATTGCAGTCTGATCGCGAAGTTGATTCGAATTTCACATAGTTTACTTAAAACACGCGAATTAAGATACCTAATTAGAAAACGTGGTTGAAAATTCTTATGAATTTCTGAAATAAAAATGGATTTTAATAAGTTTTACACAAATAGTGACATTAACATTTTAACATTTTACATTATACACCAAACTTGCAGATCATAAGAAAAATTTTTAAAGTCGATTATGGAGTAAACTAACGCATATGGAACTTGAAACAATATGTATAAAACTATCACCACAAACCTTAAGAAAGCTGTAGAAGAAAGAATAGCTAACAAATCGCTTACCTTTTTAAATGGAATATAAAGTCTTTGATAGGGAATTCTGAAAATTTTGTGGGAATCTAAAAGCTCTCTCCTCCGATTTTAGTAAGGTTATGGAATACTCAGTAAAGCTAACCTAACAGCTTGCATGACGGCGGAAAGGACTGATTTTTGTTCACTGTTCGATGGAACGGAAAGCATTTGGTTTCATTAAGAAAGTCTCGGTTGAGAGCAAACTAGCATTTAACCGTTCAATATTCCCACACTATTTTGACAGTAAAAATGGGAAAAATATAAAATTTAAGAAAAGTGGGATTAACTAAAGATAATTTTAAAGTTTTTCATTGTTATTAAAATAAGATAGAGACGAACTGATGAAAATAGGACTTGTCTATTAAGACTAATGAATCCACTAAGGCATCAATAGCTCACATATCACCTTAGCAAATATTTATTTTTTAAATCAAAAACTGTTACGAGTCCTTTAAATGTGCTCACAAAGTTCGTCAAGCTTTCCCTCTAAGACCATTGTTTCTTAATTTATTAACGGAGTCTATCAATAATCATGCGGCTAAAACTCCGAAGTATCAGCAGTTCGTGCCGAGAATTCGACCCGGCGCCATCAAGTGGTTCATGCTCTTGAATATATCCTATTGAATAGGAAAGGTTCAGGATATGCCTGCATAAGATTTTAGTGGAATTGCTCA